GAATGCCAAGCAAGGCTAGAAATTTCTGGCCTCATCCACCCTTGTGATTTGGTTAGGGCTAGCTAGAGCAGTAACCCTCCTGCTGCCGTCTGCATATGGAGAAAATCACTGAAAGCCACATGTACTAGCACTGCAGCTTCTCCCTTCAGTCAGGGAGGAGCAAAATTGTCTCAGGGTAGATCACGGTTTATAGCAGTAAACATTTGTTCTTCTTGTTGGCTGCACCTTGCCTGATTGCAACAGCCTTGAGTGGTACATGGGGACCTTGCCCACCTTTACACTGAAGAGCCCCTGTGCTGAATCTCTAACAAGGATCAGATTCCCAGATACGCAGGCTAGGAGGGGCCAGAAATGAAGGGTAAAATCCATTTAAATACTTGGCAAAATTCCTAAAAAAAAAGCTGGATTGAAGAGAAACAAGGTTTTCTCAAAAACAGCTCTCAGGTTAATCAGTTTTCATATTGTGCCAAATACATGCTTCCTAGTTCTCAAGTCATTCAGAGTTTCAACAAGATTACTCCAGAGCTTCAAAATATGGAGAAAAAATAAACAAAAGGTAGAGTTATGTGTCACTATAGTAAGATATGATAAGAATAAAAAGGGTATAAGCTTGATTTTCCTTTTTCTCTTCACATCTCCAGGAAACCTTGGAATTTCTAATATAAAACCTAAATAAAGTTTCCAAGTGTTTAATCACCAAGTAATTCCTCACAAGACTGATTTGAGGCAACCATTCTTTTTTTTTCTTTTGTTTTAATCTTGGCCCTATTCCCTCATTTCTTGCTATGTTCCTGACATAATTCCTTGAAAAGGAAATACTGACTATCTAAAAGGGAGTTTCAACTGTAATTAGGGTCAAGACATATCTTGACACATACCTCCGTGTCCTGTTGTGGTACAAAACGTTTGTTTCAAATGCTTTGGCTCTCAGAGCAATCTTATACCGAATGCTGCCCATGCCAGTGATCCCCAGAGCAGCTCCAGTAACATCAACTCCCAGAAAATCGGCTTCACGGTACTTCATACCTGAAGAAACTGCAACGTGATCGTCTGCAAGAAAAACACTCCAATATGAGAAATCAATGGGGTCCAACACAGAGGAACAAGGCAAAAGAGTCTGGGCTTGTTGTGCTACTATAGCACAACATAACTTTTAACAGTTACAAACACACAATTTTAAATAGCAATGGTTTTTGTAATGTCCTAGGTGACTCCCTAATATTCCCTGCCACATGTATGTGACATTCTCATTTATTCTCACCACACCAGAAAAAGCCTTTTGATGTAATCTTCCCTAAAAATCCTTTCACTGCTTTAGACTCATAAAAATATTGCCCTGTTCTGCATCAACAATCAAAATAATTATTGCCACTAACACTGCACAGTTTGGAAATGTCACGTGGAGAATAACACCAGAATAACACAAGTTTTGCTATGTATAACAAGAACAGGTTTCCTGTTCACCTCTGCCACTCTCCTTGGAAAGAAAAGTGTGACTTCTTTAAAAATCACTACTCAGTAATTTCCATAATTATCTGTTAAACCTGCAAAATTTTGGATAGTTCTACAACACAGAAAATAAACTTATATGCACAGAGACAGCATTTATTAGTCTGCTAGCAAGGTGACAGGCTTCTGATATTTCAGTCTTCTGATATTGCCAGCTCTTCTAAAACACAAGCAGAATATTGTGAAAATATCAAAAAATGTCTCAGGATAAAACTCAGTCATGCCAGGGCAGAGCTATCAGAAATGCCACCAGGGATAGTTTATGTAGATGGGAACAAGAAGTTAATCTCCCTTTTAATCTGTCTCCTCCTTGTGAGGAAGAAACAGATTTAGGGGGAGACAAATCTCCTTTTGAGTTTCTGTGAATCCTGTGGTACAGCTGGTAAATCAAAGGCAGGTAAATTTAACAGGATAAATCTGGAGGATCTTTTCCTGAAGCCGGAGGCATTCTAACCAAGCCAAGGGTAGGTCTATTTGGGGAAATGACAAGAAAAAATTGTGGAAGAAACTAGAAAGGATGCTACTAGCAGAAACTGGAGCAGGCTGCCTTGTTGCTTTGTAATGCTCCTTAAATTCCCCAATTCTGCACGAACCCATTTTGGTCCCTGAGAATACGCCCATGCCTCTGTCAGCCCCAGCTTTCAGCACGTACCCTTAATTCTGCTCCATTGTTTCCTCCCACACTCTTAATTACTTCTGCCAGCCTGTGGTTGCAGCAATCATCTGATCTTTGGCATCCCCCACTTTCGGTCAATAGCACTGTAACGCTATCACATCAAGAAGCACGTGTTATGTCAGCCAAATGTCATAGTCACTGAAAATGCGCTGCTCAAGAAGGTAATGAAATTGAAAGTTTTCATATGTAGGAAGCACACTTCAGTGTGTTGTTAATCTGAAACTGTTAAATTAAGTCTACAGCCATATTTATTCTAAAAACTAAACTCCAGCTTCTAAGACCAAGCCCAGTCCGTAAAGCGAAAAGTTGTATTTGAGCCGAATGAGATTAGATTCTGCTCAAGTATTTTCAACCCAGGCTGCTGACCTGTGAAAAATAAACTCATATGATTTTATTTATAACCAGTTGAAATATATGTTATGTATGTTTGTGTATAGTGTAATAATTTAGATATATTTATGATATATAAAATATATGAAAATACCGATTATTCTATTTGCCAACCCAACATATTTAGATTTTCACATTTTATGTGAAACTATGTGCACTACAGATAACTCTAGGAAAAGTCAAGTTAATGGTAGGTAAATCTGGTATGATTTTTCAAAGCCACAAAAGAATTGAGATGTTACCTTCCACTAGTCTCCTAGTAGATGCCAGCAGCAAAGCCATCCCAGTATCTGCTGTGCTGCTAGAAACAGCACGTGGAGCATTAGGCATCTTCACGCCAAAGCTAGCTACAAGTTTCAGATCCAGGTGATCCATCCCTACTCCTGAATTTGCAATCACTTTCAAGTTCGGCAGGCTTTGGAGGAGCTCTTGGTCAATGACTGATTTGTGACACCACAAATAGATCACTTGGACCTTTTTACTCATATGCTTTCTGTTTTCAAGAAATTCCTTCATGGTGGTAAGGTAGAAATGTTTCTTCAGAAATATATGCCACGACAATTTTTTCATTTACCAAAATTTCATTTACCAAAAGCCCAGGTAGCTCTCTTCCGCCTATGATCTGCACAAAGAAGAAAGACACAAAGTGTCAGAAGAAAGACGTATAGTTATTTCCAGGCATTTTAAAGAATAATCACTTTCATGTCCTGTTTCATGACATCTATGACAAGAGATCCTATAAACCACATATTCAGATAGGGAGGTAAACAAGATGAGAAAGCAGCTCTTTTAAGTGTCCTATCAATCATACACACACACACACACAGAGGTATTCACATAATCAAGTCTGAACAAGTTCTGTCCCTCATGGTCTGTAAGGTTTCATACCACTGCCACCAGGTTCATAACACACAATTAGTTCTCATTAATTACTTAGTTTCAGACCATCAATACTCTGGTGCAATAAATCTCCTTCCCTACCCTGAAACCACAAATTACCACATCTAAGTAGTTTAGAAAAACGTTGGACCAAATCTCGTTCGTGAAAATAAATTGCACAGCTTCATCATGAACTTTTGAGTTGCCAGGATAATTTTTAAATGCTTCATTGCAGAGATTTTTGCAGCCCCCTGTCTTGAAGAGACACCAGCGATCTCTTAACTGCAGTGCCTTCCCCTGAGGCTGTCTTAAGTTAACAAAATCATACATGCTTAGGCAAGTGTTTGCCCAGAAGGACTAATGCACTCAAATTAAAGCGTGGGTTTTTTTGCAGGAATCACTGACTATCTGTTTGCAGTTCCCAGAGGGTCTGTGAATTGACAGGTTTTTTTGTTTGTTTGTTTTTTTTTTTTTTAAATAGACTATTTACAGCTACCATTGATTTTCCATAGGAATTTTGGGAAGAGCTGCGGGGAGAGCTGTGCAAGGGCTGAAGATCTTGGAATCCCCTATAGCAATACTTGCTGTTGTCTTGTTAGTAGTATTTCACTGTCTGCATCTGAATGTCTAACTCTCGGCCTGTCTACGCTTCCTGTGCTAAAACTTAATTTTACCGTCCCTTCAAGGAGCCTGACCATATTGCCAAATAATGGAAAGGCTTCCAGATCTTATGGAGGTGACAAACATTTTACTAAATTTTCTGACTTTGTTGCTTGGAAAGAGAATGTAAGAAAAAGCTTGGCCCTGGGCTGGAAGTTAGGACTGATCACTAATTTTGCTTTAGGCTGGGCCCTCACCCATGTGATTTCAGTGGTAGATCTACCATTGTTCATGGCCAGTCAAGATAAAAGCATCATTTTTGTCTGCATGGAGGAACTAGATCTCTTGGGATTTACTTTGGTTTTCAAAGGATCCCCTCAGGAAAATCAAAGATGCTTTTTCAATTATTTGCTTTGCTTTAACATGTAGATAAAGCAGAGCTCTTCTTACATTAGAAAATCTTAGGCCTACAATCATTTCAAGGAGTCTGCTTTCTTCAGTGTTTTGATATAAAAATAGAATATTGCAATATTGGCTGAGAAGTGTTTCAGGATACAGTCAAATTTCTGCAGGGAATTAATGCTCAATTCACCTTTAATATATTTGAGAGTGTTACACAATCTGCTTGGTGTACTTACTTATCATTATGTAGCAGCAAGTACTGGGAACAGAACACAGGTATTCATTGAAATAACAGACTGAAGATATCAAAGTGCATAACTGCTTAGTTTAAAATCTTCAAACAAATCCCTTTTATTAGTTCCATTTTATTTTTCAGAATTGTAAATAACAGTACAGATCAAGTCTAGTCAGATGACAGCTTTGCAGTATCATGACAACAAAAGCAGTGCAGGAACAGGTTGCTTTTTTTTAAAGTGGTACTGTAAGAAATAGTGCCTCCCCACACATATGAGATTTAGTGATATCATCTGCCACACATCATTTGGGAAACACTTCACTTGGAATGGGTTGGCCATTGAGAACAGCCAGCATATTTGCTATTGCTTCTTCTGCCATCGTACAGAGAGCTTGCACTGTTGCGGTTCCAATGTGAGGGGTTATGATGATGTTATTTAATTTTAATAAAGGATGATCTCTGTAAGAAACAGAAAGAACACAATGTATTACACGGGGAATTCACTCTGCAGCTATCCTATACTAGTTGTTAAGAACTGAACCTCAGGAAACAGCAATGGCATGTTGAGATAAAAGGGCCACAAAGCGCAGAACCAGCAGAAAGCTGTGGGAAGCTTGCTTACCCATTTCTTCTTCCTCCCTATTGGTCTCGTTGCCCTGCCTGTCAGTTAGGCTGGCAAAGAACTGACAGATGTGGGAAAGCTGAATAGTTTGTCATTTATTTATGACTCTGTAAGACAGGCTGAGGTTCTGCCCTTAAACAGTGAGAGAAACTCCCCATGGAGATGAAGATTATGAGCACACTTTTGCACACAGTTTAAAACATTTCAGGTTAATAGAATAGAAAACAGGTTTCTCTACCTTGGCAGAGGCTCAGGGTATGTCACGTCCAGAGCAGCAGCCCTAATAACCTTATTCTGGAGAGCTTCTACCAATGCATCTTGATCAATCACTGCACCTGCATTGAAATAAAATCTTGCTATCCTGACGAGTTAATAAACACGTTTTTACCTGGGAGCGGGGAAAGGTCTCAAGAGCCTGGTAAGAAAAATTACAGGATCTTCATCTTGTTAGAGAGTACAATAGCTTTCTAATAACCATTAACCAAACAAAATAGAGATTTTATTTATTAATCTTTAATTAGAGGAGGATTATGGTCCACTGTATAAGGCTTTTCCTGGGATGTGACCAGTCTTTTCCTCATTTTGACACTGACTTTCTGTATTATTTATTTATAGTCAATTATTTTATAGACAATTATTATTTCTATATAGACAAATAATTTAAGCTCTTCAAGCTTTCCACTCTTTTATCTCTGCTTTCTTTACTGAAACTATAATCTCTCTCTTACGTGCTTGTTCAGTATCAACAGATCTGTAATACCATATGAGGTTTCTTTTCTACATAGCTGTTCCAAATGAAACTTAGATTTTTCTTTGTACCCCATTCATCATCGGTGATGATAAACCTTTCAGTTATTTCCACTAAAAAAAGCTGTCTTTAGGATAAGGCCAAAGAGAACAGAACATCTGCTGAGCATCCCTAAAGTCCATAGGACCTTTGAACACAGAGCATCTGCTCTATGATACGTCATTCACTTGTAAACTGCCAGCTACTTCATGACTCAAACAATACAGGGACATCACAGACTGAGGTTGGAGGGGGGAACGTCAACATAATCAGACAAAACACAACCTCAACCGTGGAGCCACAAACAGTGCTTTTAGACCATCCTACCTCGGCTGATGTTTATAAGAGTAGCTGTGGGTTTCATCAGCCCCAGCTCCTTTTTCCCAATCAGTTTGTGAGTTTCAGGAGTCAGATTCACAACCAACATGACAAAGTCAGATTGCTGCAGCAAGTCTTCCATTTTCTTACAGTAGTGGGCACCAACTGCCTCTTCCTCCTCCTTTCTTCTGAAAGAAAAATGCACACACGCCCACATTGACACAACTATTTCTAACTGGCTTTAACAATCAATCAACCCTAGGAAGGATCTGGAACAGCACAGAGGTTGAGAGGTTTGAGGCCAAGGTAAAGGAAAAGACATTGGCAGGCACAGATGGTGGAAGGGAGGAGGGAAGGACGTGGGCTAGAGGGAGCAAGAGGCTAGAGGAGTGGCGGGACACTGAAGGAATGACGTATGTGTGAAAGTGAAGCACATAGGCGATATTAGGTATAGGAGGCTGGGGATGGAGTCAGACCCCACTCTTCTCTCCTGCGTCTATGCCAATCCCTGTAGAGTCTCTCCTTGCCTGACATGTGAGTTAGGGCTTGGGGTGGAAAAGGAATGAAGGGGAAGTGAAGTCTGAAAGAAAGGGAACTATAAAACTAAGAGAAGTTTAGACCGTTGTCATTGGTGCTGGTGCGATGAGTGATCTGGCTGGGCTGAGGAGAGGAGTGACTGCCTGGGTGGGCCAGGGATGCTGCCAGAAGCCTGAAGAGTCCGGCAGGACAGGGGACACAATGAGGGCACAAGGCCTGGTTTGCTTGGACAACATCTTCAGAAAGGTTACACGGCCCTTGTTCCAAACTGCTAGTAGCTAACCAGGGCAGAGCGACTGCGGGAGGCGAGGGGGAGCTGCTTCCCGAGGGGAGCAGTAGGGAGCCAAAGCAAGGAAGCGGCAGCACGCTGGTGCTCCTCATACTGCTTGTAACTGTCACAAGTGCCTAGTCTTGTGCGATTCGGTATACTACTTACACAGAACTTGTTCAGCATAACTTGCTTAGCATAAATTTGCTGAAGCCTTAGGCCGCAAGCTGTGAACTCTCACCGAGATATGTTGAACTTTTACCTAGTCAAGTAAAAGAAGGCCCCAGAGCGGGTTCCAGCCAAAAGATAAGGAAGCTGCATTCATTAACAGAAGCTGCAGCCTTAGAGAGAAAAGAAATGGCCCACCTAGAGATAATGAAAGGACCCAATGAAGAATGGGAAGACCCCAGACCCTAATATTACTACTGGTCCGAACTGTCGCATGAGGGATGGGGAATTTAGATTGTAAGGGTATAATTGCCCAGGGGTGTCTTTGTTCGAGGTCCCTCTTTGGAGGCACCAGCTGGAGCTGTAGTGCTATTAATAAAAAGGACTTTACGTTTTTACCTCTGGTTCCTGTTATGGTACAAGATCCGCATGTCGAAGGCTCTGGCTCTCTGAGCCACTTTGTACCCAATCCTGCCCATCCCGATGATCCCAAGCGTCGCTTTGGTTACTTCCACTCCCAGCCAGTCAACAGCAAAATACTTTGTGTCTGGAGAAACCGCAATCTGGCAGCCTGAATGTAAATACATGATAAATGGGTACAAACCAACCATAAACGTAGGTTTGGGGGAAAGAAAAAGTTTCTTACTGTCACAGCAGAGGGGCTCTGGAGCACCCCTTACAAAACATCGTTGATAATTTTGACCAGTTTATAGAAGGGCCTGGATGGTGCCATCCCCTGCAACAGCCAGGGCTGGAGCCAGTAACACGGGGGGCTCCCGGGTGGGTACTGTGCTGGGAGGAATGGCTCTGCAGGGAAGTAACTCTTCCGTGGCTGGAGTACTTTCTTGAAACTTCAAAAATAGCTTCTTTGACACTTACCACCCCGCAAGAATTGACTTCACTGTTCTTTAGCTGGGGTAAATCTCACCATTTCTCTCCTGGATCACAAGCCAAAGCAGCCCCACTGCTTGAGTGGGGGTGAAGGTTGCAAATTCCAGCTCAGCCAGGGATCGCTATGAGCTTTTATTCAAACAACTTGAGGTCCAGCAAGATGCAATAGTGAGAAAACAGCACAGGGAAAGACAGGGATGGACCAGCAGTGACAGAAACACTATGAGACCCTGAAGACAGAGGCAACTTCTTGTGATAGTCTCTACTGACACCTTCCTTCCCCTGAAAGGCACTGCGTAGCAAGGTCATGTGGGGAAAGGACCTACCTTTAAGGACACAAACTAATGTCGGTGGTACAGTTTGAAATAACTTTGTCAGAAGGATTATCAGCTATTTCAATAATAATGCTGATGTTCTTTTGGAAATACAACCCATTGGCTTAGACAAATTCTTCGCAGAAGCAGGAAAAAAATGAAGAGTTATACTGATTACTGCTCTAGAGATGGGGACATGGCCATTAATGCTTTGTACCTTCCTGTAGCTCCTAACACTTGTTCCAAAGGGAAATGGAGAAGTGGTGAAATCCAATTTGGATGCACTTTGTATTCAGTTTTTACAGCTATAAACAACTCACCCAGTGAACAGCGGGAGGAGAATTAAGCCCCAGACATTATTCCAAACAGGATATCACAAGTGACTTTAAAGTGCATCATTTAGACAAAGGCCTTACTCTTGTCACCATTGCCTTAAAAAGAAGCGGGACATAGGAAAAGCAGAGGCCTCTGAAAATGAAGTCCTCAGAAATTTTTTTCCCTGTAAAAGCATCCCAAGTATTGATTTGGGCAGATCACCTGTACCATAGTAAAAGTG